AATGAAAAATACAAAAATGACAAACCTTGCATTTCAAAGAGTCCTGAACTCAATGAAATGCCCCAATCAACTCTCTGACACATCCGGCACAAGTCACGGTGTCCAGCACGTAAAACAAGAAAAGACAAAAATGCCCTTGTAACGACAAAATTTCTGAAAAAATGAAAAATGACTAAAAATGGAAACAATACATAGCTATTGTAATGCTGGGCGAGCAAAATATAAATCTAGGTGAAATTAAACCTAAATTTAGTGCACCCAACAAACAAGTAATACACCTAATAATACAAGAAAGGCCATCACTGTAACAAAGTTAGAGAAATATATGCATCATAAAACAAAATGAATTTAGAGAAATATATGCATCATAAAACAAAATAAATTCAACCTAGAATTTTGTTATGCAAATGGTTTCTAATGGAGAACCCAGACGCTCTCTTCTGCCATTTCATCTTTTGTCACGTTCTATGTTGTTACATCACTTATGCAATAACTCACATTGCTCAAGCAACAACTACGTTACATCGCTTATACAACAACTCACATTGCTTAAGCAACAACTACATTACATCGCTTATGCAAAAAAAATTTCATACATCTATTGCACTACAATGTAGTGCATTGCATTAGCGATGTACAAGCAGCACAAGACCAAGGCACAGTATTCCCTCGACATGAGGAGTTCGGATTTTTCTAATGGAACAAGACTTGGGAGGTACTAGTGAAAGGAGACTGTTAGAATATATACAGAGACCTCTATAGCAAGATCCACCAGCATATATTTTGAATGAATAGAATTGTACAGAATCCTCCATAAATTTCAAAATTAATGCAACGGAGATACAGGTAGCACTTGGGGTTCAGAAAACACACACACACACACACACACACACACACACACACACACACACATATATAAAGAACAACAATTATAGGTCATACATCATTTTTTGATCAATCAATCAGTGGAACATTTCAGATTTCAAATGAGTCGAAAATTTCCCAAGCTATGATATCAAAATTAAGTGTGTTTTTCTAGTCAAATGAATTTTTCCTGGATTGTATTTAATAATTTCCACCTACCTTTGGCTATTCATTTTTTTTTTTACCAGCTATTTCATTAGTGTAGCTGAGTAGAGAATATGGAGAGGAAATATATTCGTTTTCTAATCCATCACACCTCAGTAAAAGTAAAAACAAAGTAAAAACATTAACTGATTAACATATGCTTAGGCCATCTACACCAGCCTTTCCGGATTTTGGCTCTCTAAAAATGCCACATTAGTTTTTTCAAAAGCCACATCAGCAATTCCAAGAGTCACGTCACCAATTTTCGCTTTCCAGAAACATGCACTCCATCAGGCTCTCCAAATTTTCGCTCTCCAAAAAAATAATAAAAATAATTTTTTTTTTTAAAAAAAAAAAAAAACTTTTCCTAAACAACTACATTTTTGACGACTATATTTGTAACGGCTATATTTTTAACAGTTATATTTGCAACGGCTATATTTTCTCAATGGCAATATTTTTCAATCAAACAATATTTTTGTAAATTATTATAAAAAACTACGATTGATATTAGAACTTGAAACAATATATTATCCATTATGGATTATAAAAAAAAAACAAAAAAAACAAATTAAACAAAACAATTAAAAATAACTTAAATAATACAATATCCTAAATTGGAATAAGAAAATAAATAGACCAAGGATTACAAAATCATATAGGAACTTTGGGGTGGACCGTGAATTCAAAGATGCTAATATCTCATTTTGTCGTGCAATAATTCAAGCTTTCCCCGCTTCTGTTGGTGCCGAATTTGGATCTATTAACATGAGTTCCTTCTCTTCACGTCTTTGTTTCTCTTTAATCTCTAGCTGCCTTGTCTTCTCTTTCTCCATTTTTCTTACCTCTCTAGCCACTAAGGCATCCTGCATTTTCTCCTGACGACTTTCAAAACGGCTAGTGATATTATTAAATTTTGAAACAAATGAAGTTTGTAATTCATTTGCTGAATTAATTTTTGCTCGACCCTGTTTTGCCACTTTTCTTCCTGGTCTTTGTAGTTGATATTTTTCCACACCGGGTGAATCATTTTCCCCTATGTGTGGTGATTCTTCAGTTGAAGCTCCATCTATGGTGACTACATGACTTGACGGAGTAGATGGTAATGAGTGCCCAACAGACTTATTAATGTCAAAGTCAAATCCACTCATCTTCTTCGGCTCTTTTTTGTTTTTTCCTTTTCCTACTTGTTCGGCACAATGTGAATTCCATTTATTGTTATGCTTCAAGATCTCCGAGCAACTTTCTAACTTAAATTCACCACCTGTTTGGCTAAGAAACAGGTTTTTAGCTGCTATCATCTACACGAAAAAAATAACAAAAAATTAAAAGCCGACTATTTAAAATATTTACGAGTTATAATTAAATAATAAATAACTCACCATATCACTACTGCTGAAGCCGCTGGAATAATTCATTTTTGTGGTAGTCATGCAGCCGAAAAATTTGCTGATTTTTTGTTGGATCATCGACCAATGATTCATCAAACCCCCATCATTTCGCTCAGTTGGAACACCAATATGTTGTTTATATTGTTCCAGAATTCGCTCCTTTAACTTCTTCTTACTTTGGTCTGCCCCCGTAATCGCATCAGAGGTAATGGACAACCATGCCCAACATAAAGCTTCATCTTCAGCCTTAGTCCAATTATTATGTTGGATAGCCGGTTGTTTTGACGGGGGTTTTGAGTTACTTGATTGTGGAACACTAGTACCACAATATTGATGAGAAGTTTGGGATGATTGATAAGAAGGTTGGGATGGTTGACGAGAAGGAAATTGAGAATCTCCTCCATAAAAATTGATATTTTCTTTGGGAAATGGCAAAAACTCATCGATTGATGGGTTGAATTAGGTGTTGTAATAAAATGGATGTCGAGGATCCATGGAATCGAAATGACTTTGAAAATAATAGCTAAGATTGAGAAAATAGAAGAAGAAATAAGTTGAATGGTAGATAATAGGGATGTGATAGTGATGGTAGGAGTTAGGGTATTTATAGAGATTTTAAAATTTTGAATTTAAATTTTTTTTTTTGAATAAAGTTAAAAAATTTGAATTTTTAAACTTTTTTTTTAAATTATAGCCGTTAAGGCACTCACTACAAGAAATATGAGTTTTAGTAACAGTCCTTTAGGGACAGTCTTAAAAACTGTCCCTAAAACATGCTTTTTTAGGGACAGTCTTTAAAAACTGTCCCTAAAACATGGTTTTTTGGCACAGTCTTTAAAACTGTCCCTAAAGACTTTAAAACTGTGCTTAAAACATTATTTTTTGGCACGGACTACAAAACTGTCCCTAAAACCATAAACAGCCCGTCCCCAATTCCACAAAAAAATAAAGTGGCAAAATTTAGCCTTCATTTATTGTTTGCCGCTTTTGTAAGAATTAAAATATAATATATAAAATTAATTTATTTCCATCAAACTATGTCGTTTAACATCTATTTACCTAAAGTCTTCAGTTCTCACGCCTCTTCCACCCTCACCCTCACGCCTCTTCCACTCTTTTCACTCTCAAGCCCTCACGCTCTCTTCCACTCTCACCCAATCGTTCCGACAGCCACATCAATCTAAACTCACCCAATCGTTCCGACAGCCACATCGATCTAAACTCTTGGACTTTTGGAAAGAAATCCCGCGACACTGACACTTACAGGCGCAACTGTTAGAAGATTCAAGATGTAAGGGACGCGTTTAGGTGATATCCAGAGACTTTTAATCTTGAGGTATAACATTTTTTTTTCTTTCAAAATTTTAGGGATTATGCCTTTTTCTTCAATTTTCAGAGAACCCCATCTTCGATTTGTCATTCATATAACCCACATCGATTTCATGATCCTCACCCTAGTTTTTATTTTATTTTTTTTTATTTTTTTTTCTGTAAATACATGTTGTAGGGTTAGAAAATTGCAAAAGGCCTAACAATTGAAAGGGTAAATTACAATCTGGAGTCAGCTTGTAGTCTGAGTGTGAATTGCTGTGGGAAATACAGGTTTGAGATATAACAAGTTCGATTTGTTATGTGCTTGTTAAAAAACTCGTTATGTGCTTATTACACTGTGAAATCACTTTGACAAAATTTGAATTCTGGGTTCTATTTAACTTAAATTATGATAATAGGTATTTGGATATAATACGGTTGTGTATATGTACATATCGATGTATATATATGTATCTATGTATAATCTCCTCTGTTTTATCTCTTTGATCTTATATGGTATCTTTTATACATCGGCTTTTGTGTTGCACAGTTTACGTAATCAATGTAGCAAAAAAAATTTCATTATTAAAGTTCTAGGAAGATTGTTGATTTTCTAAAGTTCTTAATATTCCAAGGGAATATATAAAATGCATAATGCATAATGGTCATTCTAGAAAAAAGAACCCCACCAAGTTGGTTTTATAAAGCTAGGAACAAGGAAATTAGGGATTTCAACAGGTTTTCCATGCCCTCTCTCTCTTCCTTCTTTTTTTTTTTTTAATTTGTTTTTTTATTCTTCTATTTTTTTCTGCTTCAATTGTTGATTGTCAAGCAGAATTGTGCATGCCAGCCTTGATTTAGCTGTTGCCCCTTTGCTTCAACTGTTACTCTATGTCTATTATATTATTCCCAATAAGTTATAGAAGTTTGATTTTTAAAATTGCTGTTTGAAAATTTTAAAGTAGTGTGATATTATAATATTGGCGGGTATTATATATATATCTTCTCTATGAAAATGTTTGAAATATTATTTAAAAGATGTGCATAATCTGTCTTTTATTGTTTTTCTATTTATTATTTTTTTAAAAAGGTAAAATATATTTTAACTAATTTAATTGGAGAAAGTTTAATTCTTACATGTATGTATATGCATATACCTAGTTTAAATTTTTATACCGACCAGTACATTTTCTGTCTCTAGTTTAGTTGGATGAACATGATGATCTGCAAATGCAGGAATGTTCATGTTGTGCACTTATTGCTGAAAAGTTTGTGCTGACTTCACCAGAGATATTGGCGGGGAAAGGAATCAGCCGACTTCTGGTATGTAGTGCTTCTGAACTTGCAACTGCCAATTTCTTTTCTTATTTTTTCTTTTTCTTTTTTTTTCTTTTTTTTTTATTTTATTATATTCGGTTTAATCTTTTTATGTTTCATATATTCAATACCTACTTCGCCAAAAAAAAATTGCTAAGATGTTCCAATGCAGGATGTTGAAGGGAACTATCAATATGTGCCCTTTCCCCCTCCGAAATATCCAACACAAACTGAAAAATAAAACTTCTGTTATGAATTCTTCTTAGGAGATTTGTAGATTTATCAACATTTTAGGATATGGGCTATCAACTTCCTGACCATGCCATTAAACGTAAAACTACATTAGGTCAAGATAGAATTGAAATGAAGTTAAAAGACAAAGAAATAAGTGAAATAAAGAGGTCACACTTATACTAAATAATAAATTTAATAAAAAAAAAATTAGAATTACCCCATCTATATCATTCTTCTGTGCTCTAGTATTTTATTAGAAAAAAATATGAGTCCATTGATTCGGCACATATTTATATTCAAGTGATTTATGTAACATGCATCACAAACTATAAAAATTTAAAATTGTATATAGAAAGACATATATGCATCAACATTTAAATTGAGGAGGTATTTGCTCACACCAATTCTATCAGTTGATGCTTGGTAGAGCACCATAGTCATTAATAAGATTAGGTTGGAGCAGACTTGATGTAGTATAGTTATCTTTATAGGTTAGGTCTGTGCTCGTTTGTTTTGCATATTTATTAGTGTAACTTCTAAAATTAAGCAAGCAAGGATGGAAGATGAAGATAGTATTCGGTCCTTCAAGGACTCAGAATGACTCTGTAATGCTAGGTGGTATGACTTTAAGCAGAATAAAATTTTCGCATGCTGTATTGTCATTGCTTGTCATACTAGTTCTCCCCACATTTTTACAACTGTGAGTTCAGGTAGGAAGAAAATCTTTTTTGAACTATGTTGGCCAGAAACAATCAAGCATCCTTAGTTTTCATGAACATCCAAATGCCACATTAATTAGTTGCAGCATGTTGCTTCTATCCTTGCTCTATCTTTTGTTTGATGACTTTTTTCCTTGTGATGATTAGGTTTGCAGAAGTGATTCTTTGGTGTTTCGAAGAGAATCTCGGGCTTGGAGAAGGCCAGCTATCAGAATCAGGAGGTAATCTAAACCCTTATATATTCTGTAATGTGTTCCTTATATATTTTGTTATGTGTTCCTTATATATTTCTTGAGATATAGTTGAAATAGGCTTTTTGTTTGTTCTTACATTGAGATTGGGAAAGTAAAAACAGAGAAAGTGATTGAGCTGAAAAGTTTTATTGCTCATGCCCCCACAGTTTGAAAATGAGAAATTGAAAGAAAGGAAAAACAAATGATATATTGATTGTCAAGTTTGTTTTCGTGGCTGGCAGAATTGGATTTTTATTTTGAAAATTTCGTTATATAGTTGATTGTTTAATTACAATTCGCAGAAAGTTAATTTAAGTTTTCGTTGCAATGATTAATAACATTATGTAGATTACCCGTCACAAAGGGTTTTATTTTGGAATTCAAAAGCCAATTTTATTTTTGGCTTAAATTAGTCATTCACATTTGGACCAAATTTGAAAACTGAATTTTTAAAAACTTGGGCCAGCTTTGATCAACCCAAGAGCTTTTAAGTTTCAGATTTCTTGGTCATGTTTCACCAAATTTTAACTGAGCTATTAATTTTTTTTTTCTTTCTTTCTGATTTTATGGTTGGATTAATGGAGTTTAAATAGGATTTATCACTACAAATTTTCAACAAACTCTGTTTCAACAACCATATTTTCTGATTTGACGATGTGCCTAGTTCAAGAGATTGAGCAGGGAGATAGGAAGAAAAACATAGCTTAAACAGGGAGAGATAAAACTAAATTGGACCGGGCTAGCGTTTGCAGAAGAATAAGAAGTTGTTGCCCTTTATATTATTATTATTATTATTAGTATTTGCTTCTGCTCTTCTCCTATTTACTCCAGATTTTGGTTAAAATAACAGCACTAGTCATTAAAATTGCTTCTCTTAGTTTTTGGCTGTTGGTGTTCTCCTATTTACTGGACAATTTTTTTCCATTGTTTGAATTGTAATCTTGTAATGTTGTAGAAGATTTTAAGTCAGTTTGTAGTGCAGTGGTAGAAGTCTTTTTTGCCCCTTGTTTAACAAGTTTTGAATTAAACATATTAGACTGACTACAGTAAACCAAAACCGTATTTGTCTACAGTATACCATAAACAAATTAGAAATTAATTATCTTAAGACTTACCCAAAGCCATGGTGAGAAGGCTATAAACAATTTGCTAACTACTGCCCAAATTTGAATATTTGGAGCTGATGAATCCCTTCTCAAGCCTCCAAAAAAGATACAATATACATAAGACTAAATATTTAATGGGGAATAAGTAGAATCAAAATTTACAAGTTTGGCATGCCGACGAGGAAGGGAAGGAAACATTTCTGTGATGGAGTTACTCGACCTTCTTTTCATCCCAAGCCTTCAAATGACCATTAATTTCTCAGAAATATTAGGAGAGGTTGCCAGAGAAGATGTCATTGAAACTGAAGAAGTAAAAACAAAACAAAAAATGACATGATTACTCTTTTCCACTATTATACAACCTAGAATAGAATCAATCATATATTCATATTGAATAAAGATTTAAATCTCCATTCCATCACTCATTTTATATCCATCTTATGTTATCCAACACCATCATTACATGAACTCAAATTAATAATGAAACAGTTAACCAAATAAAAATAAAAATACAGCGAAAAAATACTTTAACAAATTTCAATTACCAAAAAAACCAATAAAATTACAGGGAAATTCTATTATGTGCGCTGCCATTCTGGAAACCCTTATCATCTACACAACTTCCAAGATCTACACCTCCATTTCTTTAACACCCTCATCTCTAATTAGAGTTAAGGGTTCCGCAATTTCATGAATATCTAGAAAGACATCTATGTCTATACAACATGCATACACCTGAAACATCTAAAGTGCATCTGAATCTTCCTCTATCATCCTCTTTTCACTGGGTCAGAAGATAGATCTAGGAAATTATACCTACTAGTGTCTATAATACTAATGCCATGTGACCATGGCAGTGAACCAACAGAGTATGAAGAAACTCCATTTCTTAATTACTATGTCTTTCAATTTTCTTTAATTGTATTTCACTTTTTTTTTTTTTTTTTTTGGTTCTTTTTTAAAGAAATGATAAGACGGTTCTTACACTCATTCATTGTTCCTTCCATGATGGGCTCCACACACTTATATACATACATATATATATATATATACATATATATATATATATATATATATATATCCTTTATTAACTCTTGATGGATATATGTTCTTTTTTTTCTTTTCTTTTTATTATTATTATTATTATTATTAATTTTTTTTTTTTTTGTGTACATTTAAGCAGTTACATGGATAAGTCTTGGATTCATCATCACACTAGGGGAAGTATAAAGTATTTTGATGGCATACATGACTTCATTGATGTGGCTAGGCGTCATGCAGAAGTAGACGGTAGGTCCCGATGTCCATGTCGTCGTTGCAAAAATAGGACTTATCATCAAATTGAAGAAGTTAAGCAACATCTCTTGAGAAATGGGATGGACAAGGGGTATACCAATTGGATATATCACGGGGAGGCTCGTCAAAGCAACAATAATGTTAATATTGATGCTAATGTCAGTAGGGAAAATGTCCACGATGAAGATGGAAATGTAGATAATGTGTTTGAATTGTTGGATAACATACAAATGGGAAACTTCACTAATGCACCACAACAAGAAGATTCGCCTAAAGTTGATGTTGGAGGAGGAAGCTTTGATAGATTGTTAAATGATGCACAATGTGAATTGTGGCCAGGTTGTGAAAAATACTCTAAGTTGTCAGCGATATTAAAGTTGTTCCATGTGAAGGTTACAAGCCGAATGAGCAACAAATCATTTGACATGATGCTTGATGCATTTAAGGATATGCTTCCCGATAATAATGTGTTACCAAAGTCTCATTACGAGACTAAAAGCTTGTTACGAGACTTGGGTCTCGGATATGATTGTATACATGCATGTAAACATGATTGTGTTCTATTTTGGAGGGAAAACGCAAGTAAAGAAAATTGTCCACAATGTGGTGAATCGAGGTATAAACCTCACGAAGGTAAGGGTAAGAAAATCCCTCAAAAGGTTCTCCGGCACTTCCCATTGAAATCAAGACTTTAACGGTTGTTTATGTCAAAGGATACAGCCTTAGATATGCGGTGGCATAAGGAGAAACGTGTGAAGGAGACAAATGAGTTAAGACATCCAGCTGATTCAAAAGCTTGGGAGGATTTTGATAGTAAGCATAGTTGGTTTGCTGCTGATCCTCGTAATGTTCGTGTTGGATTAGCAACTGATGGATACAATCCATTTGGAAATATGAGCAATGCGTATAGTATGTGGCCTATGATGATTGTGCCTTACAATTTGCCACCTTGGATATGTATGAAGGAGCCATATATATTTATGTCGTTGCTTATTCCTGGTCCAACATCGCCTGGTAATGATATTGATGTGTACATGCAACCTTTGGTTGAAGAGTTAAAAGAATTGTGGCGGGATGGTGTGATGACATATGACGCGTACAGTAAATGTAACTTTAAAATGCATGCGGCAATGATTTGGACCATTAGTGATTTTCCCGCCTATGCGATGGTATCTGGATGGATGACAAAGGGTTATCTAGCATGTCCGAATTGTAACAAAGAAACATGTTCTTGTTTTTTGAAACACGGACGTAAGATATGCTACTTGGGAAGTCGTATGTTTTTATCGTTAGATCACATTTTCAGAAACCATCACAAGCAATTTAATGGCAAAAGTGAAGACAAAGGGCCACCAAAGCAGTTGACGGGTGATGATATTCTGGAATAACTTAACCTCATACCCGAGGTTAGTTTCGGAAAGGGGCCAAATAAAAAGAAGCGAACTCGTGAGGAATTTGAACTTAACTGGACGAAGAAGAGTATTTTCTTTGAACTACCTTACTGGAAGACCATTTTGTTGCGGCACAACCTGGATGTTATGCATATAGAGAAAAATATATGCGATAGTGTCTTGGGGACATTATTGGACATTGAAGGGAAAACTAAGGACACATTCAAAAGTCGGTTGGATTTAGAAGCAATGGGGATTAGAAAAGAACTCCACCTGAGACGTAATGGTGAAAAATTTGAGATGCCACAAGCGTGCTACACATTGTCAAAGAATAATAAAAGACAACTATGTGAATGGCTAAAATCAGTTAAGTTTCCAGATGGCTATGCATCGAACATAAGTCGGTGTGTGAATGTTAATAATTGTAAGATATCTGGATTGAAAAGTCATGATTCACACATTCTCTTACAACGTCTCCTCCCTATTGCTATACGAGGATTCTTAAATTCAGATATTTGTAACACAATAGCTGAGCTTGCTTTATTCTTTAAGGAATTGTGTTGTCGAACTGTCAAAGTGGATGTCTTAGAGGCAATGGAAAGGGACATTGCTGTTATACTAAGTAAGTTAGAGATGATATTTCCTCCGTCATTTTTTGACATTATGGTGCACTTGGCTCTGCATTTGCCGTGTGAAGCCATCATCACAGGCCTTGCACAATATCGATGGATGTACCCGATTGAAAGGTGCTGTATATTTTTAGTAAACCAACATTTTTTTTTAACAAGTTTTATTAGTTTGTTATTAAATATTATTGGTTTGATTAATGGTTATGTAGATTTTTGCATACTCTCAAATTGTACGTCCGTAACAAAGCACGTCCGGAAGGGTCCATTGCGGAAGCTTACGTGGACGATGAGTGCCTCACATTTTGTTCAAAATTTCTTGGAGGGATTGAGACAAGGTTCAATAGAGAAGAAAGAAATAGTGAGGGGAACTACAACAATGATTGGTCCACATTTTATGATCTAAAGCAAGTGGTTCGACCGATAGGAGCACAAAGTTTGGACATATTGCCCCGTGCGGACATAGAGATGGCCCAATTGTACGTTTTACATAATTGTGAAGATGTTTTGTCATATGAAGAGTAAGTAACTCATTGCATGTCATATCTTGTCAATTTCTATGAATATATAGTCTATTTCTTAATACATGTATACAATTGTATCATTAACATCATGTAATTGTTTAGAAAACACAAGGTAGAACTTGAGAGAGAAAATCCGCGCAATGTTCCTCAAAGACATGCTAAAGAATATTCGAGGTGGTTCGAAACAAAAGTAAGTCCATTATGCACCTATTGTACTTAATTAAATAAAATTCTTTAATTTAATTAAAATGAACTGTCATTCATTTATTTAACACTACACTTCTTTTAATAGATAAAGGAAATGCGTCATCATCAAAAGGAAACAACTTGTGATGATCTGTATTCATTAGCGTGTGGACCTCAATGTCTAGTAAGTCGATATTCCGCGTGTATTGTAAATGGGATTAGGTTCCATACTAAGGAAAGGGAGCAAAATCGACGAACACAGAATAGTGGCGTGTTAGTGAAAGGAGAAGACCAAGATTATTATGGTGCCCTAACAGATATCATTGAGTTAAGATATCCTCTGGGTAGAAAAATTTTTCTTTTCAAATGTGATTGGTTCGATGTTAGGATTGGTACCGGTGTACATAAAGATACCTATTTCACAAGTGTAAATGTAGCCAGTAGAGCGTACAAACATCAGCCGTTTGTGTTAGCAAATCAAGCATTGCAATGCTTCTATGTCAAAGACAACAAATTACAAGGGACGTGGGAGGTAGTTCAAGATATAACAAGTAGAAGCTCATTTGATGTACCTGAAAAAGAGGGTGAAATAGGAGTACATGATGAAATGCTCAACACTACAGCATACCAAGAGAGCGAACCAAGCATCGTGGATGGAGTTGTTGAAGCGGACTTGGACATGGATCCATTCCCTTTGAACAGGGACGATTTGGAGGGTGAAACTCTTGATGCTGAAATGATTCAAAAATGTAGGGGTGAAGCAGCCATTAATGATGACTTTTGGGATGTTGAGAATGATGAAGCTCTTGACATTCAATATAGTTCAGATGAGGAACCAAAATTAATGTCTGAAGATGATACTGATTTGGATGACATGTGAAGCTTTTTATTCTTGAGCATGTACCTCATTTTATTGTTTTATGATTAATACTTTAAGTGACCAGCTGAATTATATTACCGAGCTTTATCTTTTGAGTTACTTTTTGTTTAAATTTCTCTTTAAGTATTGTTTCTGTGCTTCATTAATTTGCAGCTTTGATTTGGTTGACTAAATTAATCGTTATATTTGAGCATTTACTTTTTTTTTGGGTTTATGATTATATTTAATGTGATCTATTCAGTTATATTGCCTCTAATTATTGAATTTTTTATTCAATGGAATTATGTAAATATGAAATGATGACTCAGAATATATTTTGCATATGCTTGTTTATTTTGATTTAATTTCACTTGATTCTTCATATCAGCTTGTAAACTAAATTATGGACACCTCTGAGGAATCGATGCGTAGAGTTTTAAGGTCCCGCAGGGCTGAAACTGAGCGACCATCTACAAGTTCACCTCCTACACAACCAAGTGGATTAGGTGAAGATAGGAATTCAACAAATGAAAGAATGGAAGGTGATGGTAGTAATGAGCAGATAGGGCCACAACCAAGTGGAGGTAATTATGCTTCATCATTGATTAACCATAAGTTCTTTTGTAAAATGCCTACGCTTTAATTAAGATGATAAATTTGTTTTTCAGGTCCGATACGAAAAGGGCGTGGAAAAGCAAAAAATGAAGCCTTGCACAAAATTAATGAAAACAATTGGCCAGTTCCAGTTGAGTTTGGAGAGGGTTATATTAAACCTGTTGGTTTAAATAACAAATTATGGACGGCTGAGGTTGGCGTTAATACACGAGATACCGAAGCCCTTCTAAAGTATAAAACGTGGAGGGATGTTCCAGATTTTGAGAAAGAGGTCTGCTATGACCATTTGAAGGTAATGATAACCATCATTTAATGCTTGTTTTGTTAAAAAAAATCAGAGATTACTGGTCTAATTGGTTACAAATTATAGCTTACTTTAATTTTACATTATAAAGGAGGTCTTTGGAGTGGATGCATACGCAAATGACATTGATTTTAAGCGAGTAAATATGGGAATTTCCAGCGCGTTGAGGAAATATAGATATAAATTGAAGTGTCATTTTGAAGAGCATCTTCCGATTGAGAATGCACGCCGCCATCCTTACAATGGTATTGGTAATGCTGTTTGGGAAAAATTGTGTGATACGTGGATGTCACCTAAATTTCAGGTTCAATTTCTTAACTACTTGTTTTTACTATTTAATATAATAACTTCATTCACTAGTTATTTAGGTTTCCTAACTTGTAATATTGTTTAAATTACTACTTAGGAAATAAGTGCAAAAAACAAAGAAAATCGTTCCAAGAATGAGGTTCCACATTATTCTGGATCAATGTCCTTCGTCAGACGTTACGATGATTATGTGCGTAATATACGAAACAATAATTATAAATTTTTTATTTTATATTCTACATTCTAAACCATATATTTGTCTAATAGTCACTATTACTTTGTACTATAGGTCAAACTCAAAGAAAGGCAGAGCCAAGAAGATGAGGACGGTGAAAGGGAAGAGGATCCTGCTATTCGTTTGTACAAGGACACACGTTTTAAGGAACAAGGTGGATGGGCACACGAGAAAGCTAAGAGGAATTTTGTAAGTTAACTATAAGCTAGTATGTTAGATTATGAAATTTGGATCTCATAATATTGTCCACATTGATTGATTGTGTTGGATTTGTAATTTATCTATTTTGCATAGTTCAAATATGTGTCTTATATTTAGGGTAGAAATCTGGAGATTTAATAACAACTCATGCCAAATAAATGTTCTATCCCCTTACATTCCATAACTCCAAGATACTTCAAGTCTAGAAACCCCTCACCATCTCTGTCTTGACTCACATTCTTTAAAATTTCCACTTCTACTAAATACATACATGAGATCTTTGGATGTATCATGAAAATTAATGAATCAGTCCATTAATTGGGGTTTCTTGAATTAAAACTTGTTTAGAGTAAAGATTAATTTTAATTAGGGTTTCGTCAATCTTGGTTGTGACTGAAAATTATACCTATAGCAGGAGAGAGAAGAGAGAGAATGGAATAGCTTGTATCTAGAGAACTGATTAGTCTGCTACCCAGCAGGAGAGAGAAGAGAGAGAATGGAATAGCTTGTAAATGGAAGCCTCACTTTGCTCTAACAAGTAGTGACCCATTTATATATATATATGAATATATCTGTCTGTCTGTCTGTTTGTGTATGGGGGTGTGGAGAAAGTGAGGTGATTTTCCATGAAGCAGCCCTTTTATGCATAAGGTTTATGTGTGGTTGTTACATATATATATATATACACACTTTTATGTTTTATGATTATCTAAATATATATGTAGAGAAAGTGAGAAGTGATTTTCCATGAAGCAAGCACTTTAATGTCATAAGCTTTATGTGGGGTTGCACATATATATAATATATAATTATCCGTACTCTTTTATTATGTTTGGGTGGTTGTAACTTTGAAAATCCACCAAAAACATAAAATCCCATTTGTAGGAGTGTTAAAGAAAAGATGAATGTGACCTCTTTTTTTTTGTAAGTATTGTTGTTCCCTTTTTTATTCTCTTTCTTTTAGTTAGTTTAATTATGTGATATGAAGGCTTCAAGCTACTTTATCGATCAGCTCCTGTAGGAAGGTTATCTTATATATAAAGCATATTCCTCTATTTAGATGGGGTCAGCTGCAGATCCTGTTGTCATCCCACTATATCCTGAGCTGTATTTGTTCTCTCTCTCTCTCTCACACACA